TTTGCATTGAATTTTGTTTGTCAAACTTTTGCCTTGAGGCTCAAGTTATTAATAGTATGTACACACACACTAATTAAGTGTTCTTTCAGCTGTATTCACATGAAAATACTGACCTGCTGCTGCAGCTGGTTACATGAATCTCGGGTAAAATATGCCATATGAATACCATACAAATTATATATGTGAGATTTGCACTTTCAGTTAAAGGCCGTCAAGCTAAATTCTAAGTGGATACCAATTACTTTACTTCTTCCCCCATCCAACCTCACTTAATAGGATATGATCATTAAACTGAAGATAATTTGAGAATACTCCACCACCATCTCTTTATACCAAACGGCTACCATCAAAGTAGAAAAATACCCCAACAAACATCATTTTGTTAAAAGGATAAGGTGAGAATGGGGCCAAAGTTAGGGTGACCAGTTGTCCCAATTTTATAGGGACAGTCCCGATTTTGGGGTCTTTTTCTTATATAGACTCCTATTGCCCCCCCACCCCCTCCCAATTTTTCACATTTCTGTCTGGTCACCCTAGCCAAAGTCTACAACTCTTGCCATAATGAGTGGCAGCAGAGCATGTTTTTAAGGAACAAGAATCCTGTCAATTAATTTTCTGCCTACAGTCATATTGCCATGGATGTTTCAAGGTTTCCTTTGAACATTACAGCTACTTGAGATGCTCTGCGTGCATGGCTATGAAGTGGCCTACTCAAGGCCAGGCTTAAGGAAATGTGCATAATTTCCTCAAATTTAAAAGTAACTTTCATGCTAGCTTAGATTTTGGAAAATGTCTTGAAGAATAATTTATTTGCATGTATCTCTGCACTCATTATGTGGACAATAATCTAATCTAGTTCAGTGGCTCCCCCAACCTTTTCTTGTTGGAAAATCATTAGAATACTTTGGAGGATGGGCACCCCCACCAAGTCCCCTTCCACCACGTTTTGGCATAGTTGTTACTGTCTCTCCTTCTGTCTGTTCATTTGCTCTCTCTCTCAAATTCTTTTCTGTATTTTCTCTTCTTTTCCCTATCAGTTTTTTGTGTTTTTCTTTTTCATTAGTGACTCTCCACTCCTCCCCCAACTCAACAGAAAGCTACCTGTTGTTTGGGGTGTGTATCGTGTTATTACTTGGTGCTACCCACAGCTATAATGAGAGCTGGAAGAAGAGAGAACAGGATCTTAGAATGGCAGGCTACAGTCTAGACTTGCAGCCATATGCATGTGAGCTGCTCCCAAAGCCAGCTACATGGGAGGCCACTGAGAAGCAGAGAGAGAAGGTGAGTGCCAGTGGCTTTAAAGAAACCACCTGCTACTTTACTTACAGCAGCAGACTTGTTTGCAGTGGGAGCAGAATGGATACTTGTAGCTTACCCCAACCCAATTCACATTGCTATTGTCCTCTGCTCTGTACCCCCGAACCACTCTGGTATACAAATGCACACACACAAATTGGGAGCCACTGAGCTAATGTTTAAAACTGGGGCTTTTCAGTTTTCCAACCTTTTCTCTCCTACTTCAGGTTTAAGAACTCATAGATATCTTTGTATGAGACCCAAGCCAACTGCTCTGGCAAGGGTGTAATTTTGGAATCAAGTGGAAAGGTTTAGTTTGTAATCTGCTCCTAAAATAAGAGGGGAGAAGTCTGTATGTAGACATTGCCTTAAAATTAGAGGGACTCAAGCCACAAAATTTTGACCCAGTTCCAGATGTCAAAACACAACAAGTTTAAGAGGTATCCAAACCCAAGCTTTTGGTTCAGTCTATGGTAAAGATTGAAAACATTTCAAAAAGGAATATCCAAGTGCAGAGGGTGAACACTAAAAGATCAGGGTGTTTGGATGTAAGGTGTTAACTCAGGACTATCTGTATTTAAAGTAGTAGTAGAGAAAGCACATCAAAGGTTGACACTCTTCTCACTGGATCAAATTCACCCTTTGCCAATATAAACTCTGCTTAAACAGCCTTAGCACAGGAAAACTAGGGGGTGGAGTAGGAGAAAAGAAATCTATCCTTCATCCTCAACTACTGTCCCACCTCGGAGAAGGAATTACATACTCCCTACACAGATACTGCAGTCCCTGGATTGGGTTAATTGTGGACCCACTGTACAAACATAGCCTGTCTCCAAATTCCCCTTTGCACTGACCTATTTGAAACTGGAGTGGAGCCCAGCTGCACTGCACACAAGGGGGAGGGAGGTTGCACAGTCATTCTGTGTGCTTGCTCTGCAGCCCTTCTCAGCAACACAGCTGCAGGTTTGCATGTTGGATACTTTCTGTGGCCCCTGAAATTCTGGTTACATTTCACCCACAGTGAACATGAATCTCCCATTAGCCTCAATGGCACCTACATATGGATACATGTCCCTTAGTATTAACATTACATTTTGTTGACTGCACAATCTGTAGCTATTAGCTTATCTGGAAAACTTCCACTTTGCATATTTGTCTTTGGTCCATCTCATTACTTTCAAATGGATTAACTTCCACATGCCGGATATTCTTTATCTGCATGCCAACTATGGAACATACATCAGAGACCAACGTGGTTTTTCCCTCCATTCTTCTTTCTTTTAAAAATGAACGTCTTTCACGTCCATTCCCCACCTCCGAGAGTATCTGAGCTTTACATTTTCACAGGAGGTAGTTAAGCTGCTCTGCTAAGAACATCTTAGCACATAACTACAGTAACTAGTTGCTTTAGAGCACCTCCCATAGTTTCGGCCCATTAACCTGAGCACAACCGCTTGATTAATTAATGCTTATATAGGCACAGTTGGCAGCGTCTAATTAAATAATTATGGCTAAGCAGCTGCACAGAAGTTGTAATGTCCCACTAGAAAGCCAGCTGTCAATTTTACTGGTCCTCAAAGCTTTCAAAAAATGACTTTTGGAGATTAGATGTAAAAGGGCTTTTTCCACTCTACACATTATCTATATGTATTGCCCCTGTTCTTACATTAGCTCTGCCCATCACCAGATTATGAACATGCAGCTGTAAAATCCCTGCAATTCGACAATGGCAATTGGTACAGTAACTGGAGACAAACTAGTCACAATGGTCTGAATTGGATCTAGATTGAGCAGGATGAGTTTGCATCGTGGTCATTGGTTTGGCCCATTATACAGATAGGGACCATTTAAAAAATTTAGGTCTGGATCGAGGTTAGAACTTCAAACATCCACAAAATGGAAGTGTGTTCAGATAGGGTCAGACACAAATCCTGTTGAATTCAATGAGATTTTTCCAGGGATTTCAGTAGGTTTGGATCAGGCCTAGGATGGACTAGGGAAGCAAAGTTAGATCAGGCTCATTACACACACTCACACTCTCTTTTTGCTCTCAGATATTTCTAAAGCCCTTATCACCTTGATATCTAAGCATCATCACTAATACTCACAAAAAGATAGCCAATACCTAGCACAGTCTATGAAGGATAAAGTTCTGAAGAATATGAATATAAGATATCAATGATCTTTATTTGCTAATTAACATAACATTATTTGGGTCCTGCTTCAGTTTTTAAAATAGTTGGTAAAATTCCAGCAAGCGTATAGCTTTTTCTGATTTTTTTTTAATTTAAATATGATTTACTACCATACATTTCTGGAATTACACTAATTCTACTGTAACTTCATGTCAGATATTGATTTCAAATGTTAGAAACCTAGTAATATACATCCTCCAGCTCAGCTTGACTTTGAGCTGATCCAAGACCTCTGAAGTATTTTACCAAGAAGTCCTGCTATAAAACTAATTTTCAATAAATCTATGCATATCAAAAATACAGAAGGCTTTTTTGGCAAGCTAACTTAAGCACTATTACATAAGCAGATTTGGGCTGCCTGTTGAGCTCAGTAACGGGACTAGGTGGTACTCAGCTGAGTGTTGCACTGTAGTTTATTACATGTCAATAAACTACTCAAGTTCTGGGCATCTTTCAACACAAACAGTCAACTCTTCATGTTACTGGGGATATATTGACTACAATCGTTATACAACGTAGCAGGTGAGACAAGTAGCTGTTGTTCACCTTTCTATCCCTCTGCCCAACACATGATCTTCGAAAGATGATAAACTCCACTTGTGCAAAGGGACTAGGGAAACATTCTCTCCTTTACCTTATTGAAGTAAAAGTAAAATAGCCTAGCCCACTCCTAGAATATTTAAGTCCCAGAGTTGTGGAATGATTTTCTGATACAGGATTATGGAATCAAAATTACCCTAATGTTACCATTGGTAACAGTGTCCCTGGCTGAATATCAATTTAGGAAGTTAATGAGCCTGCTAGAGCTATCAGATCAAAATTAGTACAACAGTATGTGATCTGATGTGATTCCCGTTAGCAGGACATATCCATCTAGTTAGGAAGGATCTGCTTTTCATAACGTGTTTCATAACAGCATGTAGCCACCTGCCTATCTATCCACTGAATCCTCATTTTAAAGAACATAAGTTGGTTCTGAAAAAGATCCCTGTTGAAAAGGAGCCAGCACGACTGCATTTTTTTCACTTCCTTACATGTGTGCGTGTCAGCCTTGTTGACAGATGGCTTGGCTGACTGTGCCTATTGTCAAACATCTATTACCTTTGTATATTGAATCTCATTTGAAGATTTTCTGTAATTAAATCTACAGTGTGTTTGCAAGGCTTACATTACATCCAGGGAGTACTCAGGAAATGTGTAAGGCAGTCAAATGGCTGATTCACAAAGCCTCGGATAGCAACACCTTTCAGTTGTGGGGAAGAAAAGGTGCTTTTGGCAGTCTGTGCTGCCACCTAGCCAAGACCACACCACTGAGTTCAGTGTTAATTTACATTTTAAAAGCTTATACTAAAGCATATCCCCTTGGATTCTGTTGTATCAGAAGAGAACTTCCATCAGCTGCAGAGACAATGAAATCAAACCTGCTAGTGCTCTGAAAATGAAATACACACCAAATGAGACAGGCTTTAACCAGATAATTATTTTTCCCTACAAATCTCTTGTACTTACGGTAGAAGACATATTCAGTGTAGCTGGACCAGACTTTATCATCTGTGTACTGATTGACAAAAGAAGCCGTCACTGAGGAATTGCAGGCCACCATGTGGAATCCACATTCTGACAACATGTCAAAAGCCCTCTCCAGGTGCTTGAACTTGAGATAGAACCTGGAGGTGTATCTTTCCGGTGCCCTATCTGGGTCTCTACTCTCATTCAAACTTTCTCCAAAGACCTCTTTGACTAGAGCAATCCTTCCACAAACCAAAATCCTCGGGACTCTCCTGAACTTGGCATCAGCTTGGCTCTCTCTGCCCATGGTGCACGACCCCCTGTACCCAATAGTAATGAAACCCCATTTTCGATCTGAAGGTAAGAGTGATGATGGGGGGCATATTCTTGTGTCACTGCCTTGGGAGACCTCCTCGTAGTCGCTGTGGCAATAGTCATCGGGGCTTTGCTTGACATCATCAGGAGTTAGGAGTTTGACCAAGTCTGGGAGCTGAAAATATTCAGCTTCCCTTTTGAGCCTTCCCTTTTCTGGGAAGTGATCAGGCAGGACCACTTGCTTGTCCCTGAGATAGTCCAGAATGTAGCGGAAGAGGAAACCATCTCTATCAATGAAGAACCTTCCCTTGGAGTCCTTAGCTAGATCACTGGCTGTGTCTCTCTTGGGGGTGAACATTTTCCACAGCAAGGAGTGGGGGATGCCCACCAAGGTGGAATGGCGAGTGAAGTATACTTGACCACCTACGTTTAGCTCCACCACCTCTGGGAAGGCATGTAGACCAGCCCCTTGTTCTCTAGGAGGGAGGTAAGTCCTGCAGTTTCCACTCAAAGCCATTGTATTTTAAAACAAAAATCAGCCACACGGAATGGCAGGACTATCAATCACATCAAAGAGTAGAATGAGGCTCCTCCACCAGACCCCCAAAAGGACTCATAATATTTAAGAAATGAGGGGGGGACAAAAAGTTAGTTTGTTAAAAAAATCAGAATTGTCCAGAAGTGACTATGTCACGGAAGCTGGCAAAGAGCTTAAAACCTAAACAATGGATGGAGAGCAATAACTTCATGAAATGCAATTGGATCTTCCAACAAAGTCCCAAAAATCAAGATCAAGCCCAGCCTACGATTATTCACAGGTCTGTTAAAGGGGGGAAACAAAATAAGACAATTATTTCCCTAAGCATCATAAAGTTAAAATAGAGGGAAATAGGTCAGTTCATAAAGCCCCCTCTAGTACTGATTGCAGGAGAGAAAATCAAGATCTTTTGCTAAATAAAATTTTTGGCAAGTATTTTTTTTCTCCCCAAGCAATAATTAACATGTTTGGGGAAGGGGATACATATGGCAACATTTTGTTAACAAGAAAATACATACCTCAACTTTAAACAAGTGTCTAATTTAGAGCCTTTACAGATGAGAGAATGAGAGAGCATCAAGTCTTACCTTGGTTACAGTTAATGTATAGTTCTTGTGAAGGAAAGAAAATTTTCAGAGCAATCAGAACACACACAGGCTTACACAGAGTCCAGTTAATATCAAATCCAACCCCAGAAAGGGACAGAAAAGGTAAGAAAAGTGCTCTTAAGAATAGCCATCCATGTAGATCTCAAGAGTTAAACTGAGTCACAGGAAAGTTAACCGGGATGGGTAACGATGAAAAACCAATCTATATAGCAATATCTGAGATGGAAAAAAACAAAACAAATCCCAATCAGGATCCTTAAAAGAAAGAGAGTTTCAGAAAGGACCTTGGTTTAGATGACTTGCAAAAACCCCAGAATCTGAGAAAAGAACTGGCATATTTCAGTGGGTTCCCAAAGTGGTATCCTGCCTGGCAGGAAGGGCAAAGAAGCTCCCATGTTCCCAGCAAGGGTAAGAGAAGACAAGCCTGCAGCCGTCTGAAAGGATGCCCAGGGTAGCTGCTTGGTCTGCTCTTGCTGCCCGAGCTGCTGCTCTCGCTGCTGAGCTGGGTGGTTCCACAGTTCCCAGTGCAGTTCAGATGCTGTTGTTTCAGCAGTGCAGGGAAGAAACCATCCAGGGAAATGACTATTACATCATCTTAAAGGAATATGGCTTTGAGAAAACAGAAGAACCTAGAGGGGGACTTTCTGGTTCATTTTCCTTTTTTATTTTTTAACAAGTTACAGAAGCAGCAGCACTGCCCAGTGCTGCCATAGACAGCTATTCCCAAAGCAGCTAGAGGCTCCTCCAGGGAAGGTTGATCTCTGGGTGGACAGAGAGATTCCAATTGCTGCTTCTTTTGCAGATTTCTGTTTTTTAAGTTCAAATAAAGTTCTTTCCTGCTGTAAGCACAGGGTTTTTTTCCATTAATCTTTTAGCATTACATACATTTCTCCTACAGCACAAAAATTCATCCACCTATACAGCACAGAATCAAATGTGATTTTACTCAGGGACACACAGATACATACAGCAAAATGATTGAACGTGTAAAGACTCAAAATGAACTTTTCTATATTTTATCACAGTCGGTTAATTCATCTTTCAATTCCCTGACACAGACCTTACTGGAACCAATTATGAAAATAATGTGGACTAGGCAAGAGAAAAGCAAGTTTTTAAAAAAATAATCAGAACAGAAGCACAATTTCCCCATTGAACTGTAATTTCATAGTTAAACTAATTTGTAGGGGATTTCTAACACAGGAGTTTAAAATAACCATGGGGACTTTGTTAACGGGCTTGTGAGGTTGTAAAAATGAGCAATGTTTGAAAACATTTTAGCTAATATGTGTTAATTAAGCTGTATTTTACTGGTACATCAGCTTTATTGGGCCATTATAGTTTTGAGCAAACCTTCAGGCAGTGAGATAAATATAACATGTGCCATTCAGCTGAAGACTCATTCTGCTCTCACCTGTGATGGTGTAAATAGGCATTAGCTCCACTGAAGTCAGTGGAGTCACACCATTGTGGGATTGTCATCAGCAAGGCAGGGGAAAGCAGCAAAGAGTCCTGTGGCACCTTATAGACTAACAGACGTATAGGAGCATGAGCTTTCGGGGGTGAATACCCACTTCTTCGGATGCATGCATGTATTCACCCACGAAAGCTCATGCTCCTATACGTCTGTTAGTCTATAAGGTGCCACAGGACTCTTTGCTGCTTTTACAGATCCAGACTAACACGGCTACCCCTCTGATACAAGGCAGGGGAGAATCACGGACATTGTTTTCCAATCATTCAACCATGATAGTTTCTATTTGGCCCTGTCTAGATCCTAGAATTGACCGTGACCACCTAACACATTTTTAAACACCACTGTCTTTGTCTAGTATACAGACGCTCCCCGACTTACGCCAGCGTTCCATTCCGGAACGCCTTGCGTCACTCGAGTTTTGCGCAATTCGGAAACGTATACCCAACCATTACGCCAAAAACAAAACCAAACAAAAACAAAAAAACCAAGCCACCTCCTATTTCTAGTTTACGAAACTTTTTCCGTAAGTGCAGATTTGCGTAACCTGGGGGGGCGTCTGTATGTGTTAAATGGTATACAATATGTTAATTAGCACATATTAGCTGAAACATTTTCAAACATTGCTCATTTTCCCAATCTAGACAAGCCCTTTGACAAAATTAATAAATGTCTTGACTCATAAATATACCTGAAACAATCACCTTGCTGAATGACAAGTGAACCTATACTTAAGAAATATTTTACTTCCTTTATTATGAGGCAGATTCTGATCTCATGCCAGTGTAACTCCATTGGCTTCCACTGAAGTTATGATTTACAACAGTATAAGTGACATCAGCATCGGCCTCAGTATATTTAAACGTGGTCAAAATTGTGTGCCAACTAATATATCGAATTCATATCAATCAGGCATTCTGGAGTACTTAAACACTGATTTCAGCCAGGCATGCATAACTTTTAATTCACATTTTAAACCTTTTTAATCTTTAATTTGTTGTAAAATACAAGTATCTCCATGTGTAACGCCTCCCTTCATCACCACCCTGCTAACAAAGTCCAGGACACTTTACACAGTCAGCACATTAATAAACTTCTCATTGCTTATTTATATTTAATTCAGCCTATTCAACCAACTCATTAACCTGTTGTAGCTTCAATAACTTTTTTCATAGTGCAAGACTAACCTACAGTATATTTAGCATGCTTACAGCGCCACCTTATGGTTCATAGATACAATTACAGTTACATTATTTAAGAACATGATGGCTGTACTTTTACATCTTTAGCTAGCTTTCAACTTTTATCCAGGAACCATTGTTGTGTGAACTAATTTTTGCTTTTTGTTTTTAGCTATTTAAATTAAGCCAGAAATTCAAAGAAAATACCAATTATACATTGGGGAAACAACTTTTTTATGGAATGCTGTACTTCTAATTATAAAGATCCCCAATCAGAAAACATATATTAAAGTCCATTCTTCTTCAGCAAAGAATTAAACACATGCTTAAAGTTAAGTCAATAGGACTTAAGCATATGTTAAATCAAAGTCATAATAGTACATGTTGTAACTGTTTACAACATCACCCTGAAATTACATATGCATTAAAAGGCGGATCCTATGCCTTTCACATCATCTTTACCCAAAAACAAACGCTATTCAAAATTCTCTGAGAGTATGATAATCAAATAAGAGTCTTAGTTCCAAGACCCGAAAGCACAGTTTTAAGCACAACTCCATTTTCATCACTGTGTTTTTGCATGGTTTAATTGTCTATACCTGTCTTGGGCATTCAAAACTAATGTGTGTACTCAATCTGAGGTTTTGTGCTTGCAAAAATGGGGTAATCAAAAATTGCTCATTCAAAGTTGTGCCTGCAATTTCAGAGGCCAGACCGAGATTTTGAAAATGTATCCTTAATTTTATGTACATAAAATACCAACACAATGATTTGAAAGATGTATTACTTTACTGTAATGTATCAACATTAAAAGGGGAAAATTATTTATTTGAATACCTTCTGATTTAAAAAGTGAATGATGAAATCTAAAGCTGATGTTCAAAAGGAGAGCTAAACATTTATTCAAAATCTGTATTTTTTCTTAAAATGGTTTCAGTTGGAGGCAGTGGTTGGGCTCCCAGGTTAAGTATCTCAATTAGATTTCTGGATTTGACTTCTAATTCCAGTTCAGCAGGGCCTGGGGACACTGTGGACGTTGTGCAATTGAGCGTCAGAAGGAGGAGGATAGGGAATCTTGCATAACTTGGTTGCAATCCTTTTAGCCCAATTTAATAGTTGCCATGTCAAGATCACAAAGGCCTTGTCTAGACTAGGATTTAAAGATGTGATGTTAGAACATGTTAGTTAACATGTCTGAATTAACACATTGGAAAAGCCTAGTACAAACAAGGTAGTGTAGAGTTTAGGCTGGGTTGATGCGTAGGCTTCCACTAGGATTTAACTCAGTTTAGCACCTGTTAAAAGTAGTGTGCCTTGTCTATACACTCTAGAGTTCTCAAATATGTTAGGTGGAACCTGCTAATTTATATGTTCTAACAACACATCTTTTATCCTAATCTACACGAGGCCAATTGTGGCCTACAGACTGGGTGGGAATTTTAGGATCAGTTCACCACTGGTCAGTAAAAGCTGAGGCTGCTCATACCAGAGCTAAATTTGCCCCTAGTGACTACACAGCATGCTACCATGAGTAAGATCTGAATTCCAATTCTAACCTTTTGGGAGAGCATGTCTTGGAAGTACTGCAGAGGCATCAGGTTCACTCTGCCTCACTTCACTTTATACTGAGTGTTTCAATGATAGACAGATTCCAATAAAGAGCATGGTGGTGCCTGTAAACATTCCCACAAAGTACTCTGGCAATGATACAGTGTGATTAGTAACACTGATGTGTTTAAGCGCCAAGTCCTTTTGAAACATTATAATCAGAATTGCCCTTTGAAAAGAACAATTCCTTTAGAATCTTAATCATAACAGCTTTAGAAATGCATTCGCACTTTTCAAATAACAAATGAAATAAATTCAGTCCAAGATCTTGTTTCTTTACAGAGGATTTTTCAATGCTGAAATGTAATGCAATTTCTTTTGGTACAATTGCTTCCTTAGTAAAGCATCACATAAAGCTTCAAAGCCAAGCACAAGTCATCAGCCAAATTCAGCTAAATGCAGCCTGAAAAGAGTAAAACTCCCACCTCTCCGAGCCAAATATTGGCATAAGATATACATACGGTCAGGTATAAAATATATATAAGGTATATACACATATAAGGTCAGGTATAAAATTATGATCTTAGTTACTCCAGTGTAAAACCACAACTCAACTGAAATCCAATGTAGAGGAAGTGCAGCATCTACCAGAAGGGAGTAAGATGAAACATGTTCTTCCTTTTAACTAATACCAGAACCACCTTCAATACTCCTGGAGGAAAATTTAGTCCTGGCATAAAGTGTAGCTTCCAAAGTGACAGGAAAGCTATGCTCAAATCTGGTAAATCAATGGTGTGACATCATTCCTGGAAACATCACCATTTAGATGCAATTGTTTTTGCGAAGTGGCATAATAACATTAAGGCTTTCTAGAATTCATGGGACTAATGTGTAAGACAAACATTGTGGGCGTCTATCTCTAATAAAGAAACACTGATTATTTAAAGTAAAGAGTACATATTTGCCTAAATCTATAACAATCATAACAGATATACAGAAATATATCACATTCCATCCCCCAGAACCACTTTAAAGACAAATATAAAACTATATACAGGAATCAGTTTATGTATCTACAGTGTGAAATGTGGAAGCTGTTTAACAGCACACAGCAACACTATGCAATAGTTTAAGATAGTAAGTGAAGAATATAGTTCCCAGCTGAAAATTAAGAATTTTGAAAGGGAGAATATAATAGTCTGAGCTGGAATTTGGCCCGGACATTTGAGTGGGGAACTTGGATGACTACAAGTGATCAGAATCTAATTTTTACGCGATACCCAAAAGACAACACATTCCAGCAGCATAGTGCTCGCTAACATCTGATTCAGAAATGACTGGGAGGGAAAAGCGCCATATCCTGCAGTACTTGGTGTTCTTTGGCAGTTCCATATTTACATCCTGATCCAACCCAACCCTGCTTAT